GCCCCAGATATGTGACAGCTGTGCCCAGCTGTGCCTCCCCCCAAATCCATGGAAACCCCCTCACCCCCCAAATCTCTCCACAGGTGTGTGACAGGTGGGCCCAGGTGTGTCCCAGCTGTGCCCCAGGTGGGCCCAGCTGTGCCCAGGTGTGCCCCAGGTGTGTCCCAGCTGTGTCCCAGGTGTGTCCCAGCTGTGTGACAGGTGGGCCCAGGTGTGTCCCAGCTGTGTCCCAGCTGTGTCCCAGGTGTGCCCCAGGTGTGTCCCAGCTGTGTCCCAGCTGTGTGACAGGTGGGCCCAGGTGTGTCCCAGCTGTGTCCCAGGTGTGTCCCAGCTGTGTCCCAGGTGTGTAACAGGTGTGCCCAGGTGTGTCCCAGCTGTGTCCCAGGTGTGCCCAGGTGTGTCACTGCTGTGTCCCTGATGCCACCTGTGCCCAGGTGTGATGATGGCCAGGTGTGTGATGCCCTCCCATCCCTGCAGCAGGTGCCACAGGTGCCACAGGTGTGCCGCCCCCCCAAAGTCATGTCGCAGGTGCCACAGGTGTGCCAGGTGTGCCAGGTGTCACGTGCAGCAGGTGCAGGGGGCGCCACAGGTATGCCACCACCCCATGGTCATGCAGCGGGTGCCACAGGTGTGCCACAGGTGTGATGGGTGCCATGGGTGTGCCACAGGTGTGCCACAGGTGTCACAGGTGTGCCACAGGTGTGCCACCACCCCATAGTCACGCAGCAGGTGCCACAGGTGTGCCACAGGTGTGCCACAGGTGTGATGGGTGCCACAGGTGTCACAGGTGTGATGGGTGCCACAGGTGCCACAGGTGTGCCACAGGTGTTCCACCACCCCACAGTCACACAGCAGGTGCCACAGGTGCCACGGGTACAACCCCCCCCATCCAGGCAGCAGGTGCAGGGGCTGCCACAGGTGTGCCACAGGTGTGCCCACTCCTCAGAGTCATGCAGCAGGTGCCACAGGTGTGCCACAGGTGTGACCTCCCCCAGATTCATGCAGCAGGTGCCACAGGTGTGCCACAGGTGTGTCACAGGTGTGCCACAGGTGTGCCACAG